CGTAACAATACAATTGAAAAGACACATTATTTCTTCTCTACTCTGTTATTGCAATACAATCTGTGAGTATTCCACTTTAGAAATCAACACTATATGCTCTTTATGGCTAAACCCACAATAATGCAGTCTAGATCTATCTATTTTCTCTAACTAACTCTGTCTTACTTACTTCACTTCTTTCTGTATCTGCATGTATTTATGACAAGCAACAGAAAAATCTAGAAATATCTATGCCTCTAAAGACAACAATATTTACATAAGGAAAAAAAACTTAGAAGCTTTGAGTAAGATGACTTTAACAATATTACAAAAGCCTATTACAACAATTAAACTACACACACAAAACATACAACTTGTACAGAGTTACGTAATGAAACTTGTCATAACTATTGCTTTTAACACTCTTCTTATGAAAACTAAATAATAATTGTTATACTGAACAGTCTTGTATATCCAACAATAGTTACTGACAAAAGATTGCTCACAATCATTCAGTCTAGAACTACGTAACTATCTCTATCTAGCTCTCAAACTACATTTTGGACATGTATTTATAACCGAACTAAGGCATAAAATGTTCCACACACACTGAGATATTATGATGCAATAATACTCAATGAAAACAAAGAGAAAAACTTAGAAGGTTCTAGTAACATGATGCAATAATATAACAGTCATCAATTCATAACTAATGAACTACACAACATATAATTTGTAAACAGTTATGTAAACAAACCTGTGATAAATCGTCGCTTCTAAAAAAACTAAACTTAATACTTGTACTGGTTCAATTATCTAAATCATAACACTGGCATTAAACTTAAATTGAAAATGTCATATATAGCTAACAGTAGTGTGATGAGGTGCTGTAAAAGAAACATCAAAAACACTTACTCTGCCTAAATAACAAATGAGATGCACTTCCAGATGTGGGTTTTAGCTAAGGCCTGATCACCTATAATCAGGTTGATGCCACTTGTCTTTAAAAGAATCACCACAAGAACAAGCATTATCATAAAGGTTGCCTTAACCTGTAGTTCAAAGGCTGCCACAGTTGACTTAAACAATTACTTCACAAGGAAAAGTGTCATGTATTATGATTTGACTGGATATTTAATGACATCATGCAAGATATCACTTGTATCATAGTTATGAATGAATAACGAAGAGATTGTGCAGTGTGTCAATTATTGCATGATCCAGTTAGAATTAGGTTTGCAAACAGTATAAAGTATTAGTATCACAAAGATAAAACTGTGTTAAACTATCCTAAAGTCATTGATTTAAAGTTTCCATTAACTATATATTAGAATGATTCTGAACTTAATAAACATGCTTTTTCATTTATGGAACACAGCAGGTAGTAAAGTGATGTAAAATTCATTTTAAGTTTGGTCCCCAACTATGGGGATATTGCCACAAGTTTTGTCTAATTATATGAGTACTGAAAGCTGGACAGTTGCAACATTTTGTCAGTTTTATAAAAAACAAAATTTTAATATCAGTACTGAACTTACTGAAGCACTTTGGTTCATCAAATGTCCACATTCCATTTTCCATACATTTCAATAGATGAGACCCCATAAGAGTTCTCCCTGCATCACAAGAAAATATTGCAATACTTCCAGTAGCAATTTTCTCAGAAGTCAAAACCATCTTTCCACCAAGAGGCTCTTCAAGTTTTTTACAGGTGATCCCTACAAAAAGATAATGATTTTTAGTTAATGTAAATGCACTTACATCTCAAACAACACAAAGACTCTTATACAACCTGTTAATTAATTATGAAACAGTTAAAACAAGGGTTGTACAGTAAGACATAACAAATATAAGTAGTAAAAAAGGAAAAAACGTAACCTAACACCCATGTTTACAGTAAACAGTGTTCAAAACAGTAATACCGATTAATCCATATTATTATCATCACTGTTCTTTAACTTGTTAAAAAAAAGTTCAAACTATTACACATTCTATTAAATCATAAATTAATTTGTCAGATAGTCAAAGGCTCAGTACATTTAATCACAATACTAAATGTAGTTTCATTTAGTATGTCAACATGTATGTCTTTCCTATAATTAGGAACCAAAAAATAATCCACTATACTAAACATGGTTGTAATAATTCAAAGATAAACCTACGTTACAGCCAATATCAAATAATAGGTTGAACAATTGCCAAGTTTTATATTTTTATTTAAAGAAGGACGTTTCGAATTAGTGGCCTTTGTCAAATCATACAGTTTACAATTATTGTAAGTTGTACACTCTGACAAAGAGTGCTAGCGCGAAATGTCATCCTTCTTTAAATAAAGATAAAAACTTGGCAATTGTTCAACCTATTATTTAATTTTAATATTTTCATCACCTATGCAGTTTTAACTATATTTCTCTAGTTTACAGTCACTCAATCTCCACAAACACAAGATTTGTGGACCTAATCTGCAGAACAACAAGTATAGTGATGGTACAAATGAAGCAAAAGAGATGAGAAATTATATTGAAGTAAAGATAAAAAGTACAACACTTTACTTGTATATAGCATATACCATAACGTAACATAAAATGTAAGGTCCATCTATGCTGTTGATCCATTCAGACTGTCCTATCTGTCCACTAAATAACATTAAACTTAAAAAACAACACAAAGCCAGCTCTTATCATTTAAATATTTATCAAATCTTCTCTTAAACTCCCTTATATTTACTGCATCTACCACATCTGAAGGCAACAAATTCAAAATGAAACAACTCTGTCAGAAATATAAACCTATTTTAGCTGAAGATGGCTCCTATTCTACCAAAATTTATATTTGTGGCCACTAGTCCTACCATTCTTAGCACTAAGTATAGAAAAAGATGATGCATCAACACTATCAATTCTTTTAACAATCTGAAACACATCAATCAGATGCACTATAATTCTTCTTTTTTCCAAGAGAAATCAATTTCAGATATCCTAGCCTGTTCTCATATGACAACCTTTCCATTCCATGCATCATCCTAGCAGCCCTCCTCTTAACCCTGTCCAACAGCTCAATGTTCTTCCTAAAGTAAGGAGCCCAAGAATATTTCAAATGAGACCAACCCAATGACCCTTACAATGAAATTATAACTTCTTTAGGCTTATATTCAATATTTTTGTCTATATAACTTAAAATCCCATTTGCCCTACCATTAGCAAAAGCATTACCTAGATGGCTTAAGAGACTGATCAATCAGAACTTCAAGAATCTTTTCTTCCATAGCATTCTTAAGGATATTCTCAATACTAACTCCTGAGGTACCCTTTTAGTGACATTGATTCAGCTTGACTAAACTCAGTTTATACCAATCCTCTGCTTTCTTCAATCTAGCCATTTTTATACCTAATGAGCCAACTTATCCTTCACACATATTGAGATAGTTTTGTTTACGTGTCCTTTTCCTGCATCTACATAACCAATGGCCCCTTCAAAGAACTTCAAAAGATTTATTAGGCAAGTTTTTGCCCTCATGAAACCATGTTCTATATCAAATAAAATTTGAAACTTTGGAAAATACTTCTTTTAACATATTTTCAAACAATTATATATAATTATATATATATTATATATAATTATATTCAATTATATTCAAACAATTATATATATATAATAATAGGTCTATAATTAAGTGGATAATTTTTACATCCTTTGAAAAGTGAAGTAACATTAGCCAACTTCCAATATTATGACACCTGCCCACTATTCCAGGACTTACAAAAATTATTTGTATGTGGCTAACATATCTTATGTTTAACCTCCTTCAAAACACTTTAAGAAATATATTATCTGGTCTTGAAAACTTATTATTTTTTAAACTTACAAGTTGTTCCTTAACAAGCTTATAATTAATGTGATAATCTTGTTTGATCTTGTTTCCATCTAGCAACTGTTCAGGATGAGAAATACTGCTTAAATCATTACTAGTAAAAATTAAATAAAGAGTAGAATTTAGTAACCCAGAACACCAGAAAGTGTGTGTGGACAACTGTCGTCAGGTACAATTATCTGGAGTTTCATCCCCATCAATAGACAGTACAATGGTCTACTATGACTAAAGATAGCAAGTGCATGCCAGGTGTAAGGGCAGGATCACAACTTTTTGTAAATAATGTTGAAATAGTCATGCCATTTGTATAAATATATTGCCAAAGCACTCTTTCAGAAAACCATATGGTGAGCACTGAGCAGGGACAGATGTGTTTAATGCTTTCTGTACACTCCCTTTCAATGCAAATTTTGGATAAGTATTCCCTGTGAGACAACACTGGCACTAAGCACAAGTAACATACATTGTAGTTCCTCATTTAACATTTGATATGGTGCCTTGCCTTCTCATGTTCATTTCATGTTTTTCTTCTGTTTTTTTATTAGTTGTAGTTGAGGAATTTGCATTTTGTTGGAAGTTAAAAATCATGGTACATGCAAATAGGTGCCATATAAGGTATGAATGACATGGAGATGACTGAAAAACATAATACCCAAAAATCACCATACTAGAGCCTCTGGGTAGACTGAAGAATGGCAACTGGAGGGAGGTGAAACCTAGAGACACATGAAATTGCCCAATGATTTAGGTAAAGAAGATCTGTAAGATCTCCTCCAAAGGCTGGTGACAAAAAAAAGAAGAAAGGATATGGTATGCCAAATTTGGTGGGAAGAAACACAAAAGAGTGTAGGGTCAAACTTGCCAAAAAGAAAAAATATGTGACTGATGAGCTAGAAAACCCAACTAGTTCAAGTGGAAGTCCCAAGAGGAGAAGGTCTGCCATAGTAAAAATAGGTGATGGTCGTTTCCATGAAAAGAGGCAATCTGGGCAAGATAGCAACAGACAGCCTGTACTGGACTGAAAAGTTAATTGGACTGGAAGTATCATACAATTAGGAAATACATGGAAAAGAGGTGGAAGGAAACACCTGATCACCCTCCCAGGCAACCCTGGTCTTCAGAAGAAATAACATATTTGGAAATAACATCAGCCAATACTTATGACAGAGAGTACGGGAGGCATCCAAGATATAAATGTCTGAATGATGGTGATCACAAGGAAGGAAAAGAAAAAAAAATGTTTTGAGAGAGAAATGATATAAGGAGCAGGAGACCAAAGGCTCAAAAGTGGGGGCATGTAAGAGCCCAGAGAACCACATAGAAGTCCCAACTGGGAAGGACCAGACAAGGGGTCAATAGACAAAGAAGGCCTTGAAGAAGTCTTTGGAAGCAGGTGAAAAGAAGGGATTATCACCTTGCAAGAGGTCATGGACAATGCCACCTGGTAACCCTCATTAGTCAAGACAGATAGGCCCTTGCTGAAAAGACAGTTAAAAAAGGATGAGCCAACCAAAGAGAGTGATAGTACATAGTTTATTTACATTAATAGAGGGCAAGAGTAGATGGCCTACAAGAATGAGGGAAAAAATGGGCTACTCTGCAGGAAAATCCTATATGTCACAAAAAGGATTGGAAAAATTCAATGTCATGAAAAATGGACAACTGAGGCTAACTGAGGAAATTCTCCAAAGTGGGAGTTGCAAAAGCATCCATCTGAAAGGTTCAAAAATGGACACAAATAAAACAGAAGATCAAAGAATGCAAGAGAAAGATGATGTATGCAACATATACCAACTTCAGGGACATGACATTTTGTAAAGTACAGGTTGTAATTAAGCACAAAGCTACATATTGGGATATCAGTCCAGTTTCTAGCATTGTAAGTCAGCAGACATACCGCAGTACTATTGGGATGTGTTGTAAAGTAAATATGGTGATTGTAGGCCCAAGAATAGAAGTCCAGAGCAAGAAAGAACAGTTCCCGAGAGCAGGTGCCTCCCTGGTGGCTGATTGAAATTATGACCATGGAGTTGCCAGAGTGGATCATCACAACATGACCGGACAATCATGACTGAAAAAGAGGGCAAGTGGATAAGCCACAGTCTTCTCAAGATAGTTGCTAGGCAGAGAATATTCCTCTGGAGACTATTCACGAAATGGAATGATGGTGTTGAATACTGTCCCAACCAAAATGAGAGGCACTAGTGTAAAGATGCAAGCTGGGTTGAGGGAGTGGTATATCTGGGTTGTGGTGGAATGATCAAAACCCTGTGACAGATGGATATAGCGAAAAGTAAAGACATAAACACAAGCGCAGATAAGGGATCACAGGACATATTCCAATGATCCCCTAGAGCTCACTGGAGGGGATGTATGTGTGATCAACTGAGAGAAATCATGGCTCACAGGGATGCAAGAGTCTTCAAATGCAAGAGAGAAGTGCCTTGAACACTAAAACCTCTATGGTGTGAATACACAAGGGAGTGGGTTAAGCCTGCCCCATATGGGAGTTGAAAAAACCCAAGGTTGACAAGAAACTAAGGGTGAGTCAAAATTGACTTGGAAAGTTAGACTAGTCAGTTCAGGCAAGAAGACTCCCAAAGAAAAGTGGAGGTTGCAATCACCTATTCCTCTCAAACTGGGGCCAGGAGAAATCATAAAACCATAAATAATGGATATGAAGACCCAGAAGATGCATTTCTTAAGCAAAGGAAAGCATGATCTGGCTAAAAATATAAGGGGCTGTAGCTAGGTTGAAAGGACAGGCAAGGAACTGAAATAAATGACCATTGAGGCAAAATGTATGAATAACAGGACAATAAGAATGTTGAGTAAGGCATTTGTAAGACCA